ATTATTTTCATTGCTTCTTCTTCACTGAAATTTTGCTACTGTTATGAATCAGGCGACCCCTGTGAAAGGGTCGTTCGACCCCCAAAGGGGTTGAGAACCACTGGTCTAGACAGTGACCCAGGGTTATGTGTGTTAGACTGAGTATGGAAAAAACAATAGCTCAGAGCCTGGGGTGCTTACGGAAATGAAACTTTCGATATATAACACTTTATTATTTGCATTTCAGAAAATGAGCCTAGATTGCTTTGGTGATTGGTGATGGTGGAGGCGGGACAGATTTTCAGAAGTGTTAGCATTTGGGAGGGGGAGTCATTCGCTGCTAGTTCATCCAAGCCAAACTCGCTGCCATCCAGTTGAGTCAAAATGTCCCTAGGACAGAGTGGAACTGCCCCCGTGGGTCTCCCAGCTTGTAACTCTATGGACTAGAAAGCCTCGTCTTCCTCCTGTGATGTGGCTGGTGGTTTTGAACTGCCAGCGTGTGGTTAGCAGGCGGACTCATCACCCCCTACGCCACCAGGGCCCACTCTTTGCTAGGTACTAGGCAGCTGCTCTTTCTGGTGCTGGGGAAGGCAAGGTGCAGTCGTGGGGAAAGTCAGCCCAGCTCGGCCCGTGACTGAAGACACTGAGAGGACCTCCTTGGTCAGGGTTCTCACATGAGTCAATCTGCAGCAACCTAGCCGCCGCTGAGAACATGAGTCACAGAGGCAGCTACGTATGCTGCATGTGTCGTGGCGGTGTATGTGAGTACACGTATGTGCATATCTAAGTATATTTGTAGGCACAGGCATGTGCTTGCGTGTGTCACGTATGGATTCATACTCACAGATGCTAACGCACCTAGAGGGATATCCTAGACATGGCCGAATACCTCGTGGGGTTGGCTTATAAGTTTAAAGGGCTTCAGACCACAGTCTCCTGGGACACCTCCATGGATCAGCATATAGTGCACACGTAAAGAGAATGTTCTACAGTCTGGCTTGCTAAGTAGCGTCTGGGTTCTTACCATCTAACATACAATGATTACTCTCTTCCCATCTGGAACAAAAGAGAGGGAAGGAAACCGAGACCCCCAAAAGCAGCTAGCCCACAAGACTGACTGCCCACCTGATCCTCCCTCCTGAGGGCAGAACTCTACAGTGCCCAGCGGCCACTCTGCAGGGACACAATGGAGGCTCTGGCTAGAATGGGAGAGAGATGTAGAGCAAAACTCAAACTCCGGATAAAGACCAGACTTGGTGGACTGATAGCCTAGAAGACCCCCCAGCGTATGGCTCTAAGAAACCCTTTACCTTGGAGTTGAAGCCAAATCCTAGCTTGGCTTCTAAAGCAAACAGTCAATTATAGGGAGGGTGGGGGGTGGAGAACAGTCAACGTTTACTCAAAAGCAGAGAGACAGGGGCGGAGAGGCGTGTCCACACTGACCTGTCCATGTTCACACTGATCCCCAGGGTGGCTGTTGTGAGGTGATCACAGAAGAGGCAGTCGCTGCTCTCCGGAAGGCCACCAAGTGGGCACAGTCAGGCCTCATTGTCAGTGTTGGGCCGCCGGTCGAGTCAGTCAACCCGGAGACGGTGAGCGGACTGTCCACAGGGGACAAGAAGAAGACCGCCCAAACCTCCATTTGCCGGGAGAGGAACTCGGAGCTCGCCAGGTACAGCCGCTCACGGGCAAGGGCTGGTTTAGGCTTTTACTTTTATACCATCTCCTTGGGCTGCTAAAAATGGGGACTAGAGGCATCCCGTGCACATCTGTGGCAGGACTTTCTCTCCAGGTGGAGTGGCAGGACCTTTGAGTAGTACTCCCTTAGGTAACCTGAGGGGTCAATCTAAGAGTGGAGAGATGCTGGACCCTTACAGTCTACTCCCAGGGACGCCGTTGACAAGTCTTTTTCAGTAAACTCTGGTTCTGCTACTTTTACTTCTTTCAAAGAGCTGTCTCCACTGCTCCAACTGCGCACATGAACTTCTTTCTGGGGCTGGAAGGGATGAATCAGTGAGGCCTCTGGGAAGCTTCTGCCAGGTGGTTTCTACATGCAGGCCCAGCACAGGCTCTTCATGGCCTGTTTGATAAGAAAGTTCAGTCCATCGTGTCCCAGGAACTTCCTGAAACCCCCCCGGAAGGCAGATGGGCTCTCTTTCTGGTGGTAGTGTATTTTCTCTTCATCTCGGTCAGTGCAGTCCACGCTGCCCGGTACAAACAGAATCTCGTTCCCTCTGGGGCTAACCCTGAAAGGCGGCCCTCTGCCTTGGTGCCAGCCACTGGGCACCAACACTTTGCCCTGTGGACACTTGCAGGACTGACCCCGTGCGACCCTTCATCAGCGGGCACGTGGCCAACAGCATGGCTGCCGAAGTGATCGCCTTGCTGCACAGCTTGTTGATGGCCCCAGAGTCCAATGCCGCCCAGATATGGACCACCACGGCAGAGAAGGTCGGTGCGCGCTGCTGCCCACATAGCTGTGCGCGGGAGGAGGCAGCTCACATTCTAGTCTAGCATTTGAGTTGTCAAGCCCATCTTTCAGGAGGAGAGATGCCCAAAGTCGGCCAGGTGTACCCATTCATTCTGCTTCCCTGGGATGTAGCCCTTGATGGAGCAGTTTCGGCTCCATTCCATTGCTCCCCGTCCTGATTTGGCAGACAACGATAGGATGGTCCCCTTGAGGATAGGATGGCCGTCCTTGCTTCTTCCTCTTGCTTGAGTTAGAGGGGTCCTGGCTTTAGGTAGCCCCTCGAGTGTGGTGTATGGATTTTTTAAAGTACACTCGCCCCGCCCACCCCCGTCCTGAGGGCTATCTCCGTGTGATTGACTCCACCCAGTTTGTCCCATCATGGCAGATGGCAGTCCCAGAACCAGGAAACGCTCAGTCCCCCTTGCCTGCCGTCATTCTTCCAGTGAATTTCATTCCTGCGATAGAAGTAATTGGGTACTGAGATGTCAGCTGACCCCGGTGGAGATTTCCCTCCAGACAAACGGTGGCTTCATTTTAGGGAGGTCATGAGCACCCTGCTAGATGCACTTGCATGTTGAGGTTGTGTATCTCTAAGTCTTTCAGACCGGAGAAGGCGATGGCGGCCTACACGGCACTGATTGGAGCCTAGTGTATCGGCCCGCCCATCTGCAGTGTCCTTCAGTCTCTAAGCCCCGGTGCTGTCCCCGCGACCACGTCTTTCACATCAACTCCCCGGGCTGCTTCCCCACCTAGGTCCTGTCCCGTGCTCTGATGTACATCCCGCAGCTGGGGAAGTATGCGGAAAGCATTCTGGAAAACGGCAGCAGCAGTGGCCGCAAGCTCGCCAAACTGCAGAGAATTGCCCGGCAGGCTGTCGCCGCCCTGTGCGCCCTGGGCGGCTTCAAGGAGACCATCAAGATAGGGTCAGAGGTCCAGGTAACCGACCGGCTAAACTCTCTCCCCAGCTCACGGCTTTCTCGCTGCATGTACATGATCACGGATTGATTGGTCACCTGTCAGGCAAGGTCCCGGCCACCATTGGAGACCGAAAAGCCCATGCCTGCCAGCTATCTCAGACTCGCGAACACCGAGCTGCAGGGTCCCGCCACGTAGTGTTAATGCCGTACTGTTGCCGCTGCCAGGTTGAGTGTCAACTCAACAGTGTGGCAGAGCGCTCACTGCATGGCCCTGCCCTGCCGCTTGTGTCTTTGAACGGCATGTTTGACGTCAGTAGAGTGTTGCGATGACCTGGCCTTGGGGTATGAGGGCCCGCTCTTCTCACGCATACCCAGGGCTCAGTGTCGGCACCCCAAGAGACGATGACCCTGGCCCTGCCCGTCATACATGGCCTCTTCCCACCCACCACCTGCACCCACTGCCCTCCGAGCTGGGAGGTGCTGTTGTCATTCACCTTCACCTTCACCCATCTCTGCCTCCAGGTCCTAGGCAGAGGCGTCTCAGGAAGCATCGGGGCAGTGGCCTCCGTCAACGAGCAGGAAGGTATAGCCACGGTCAGATTCCCGCCCATGGGCTGTAGAAAGACTTCGCAAGCAGCAGACACGCTGACTATCCCGTTGTCTAGACTTTGTGTGCCGAGATCCGAGGTAAGGTGATCTGCAAATGCATCACACCGCGACCCTGCGCACGGTAACACACAGCCGTGAACACCGAGCGCGTGGGTTGTCTTCAGTGTCACTTGGGATGTGTATTTGGGCATTTGTGACGGTGCTGCCGTATCTGTGATCTGCGCTTACTCGTAACCTTTGGGTGAGAGCTTTCGCCTTGTTGACAAAGGTCATTTCTTCCGGAGGCAGGATGTGCTGCCAGCAGATTGTATTTGGTTTGCAATGTTCTGGGTGGGGATTTTCGTGCTGTCTGTGTATTTTTGTTTTTTTCTTTAACTGAAACATTTGTGAATTAACGCTGGAGAATATAATCACGTCTGCCGTATTTCTTATCAACTAACGACTTGAATTTAACTTTTTGCCATGCCCCCCACCTCCGCCCACCACCACCAGGCCTTGCCTCTTCATAAACTGTCCATTACTGAGAAGGTAGTACAGGCAGTCCAGTCCATGTTGCTTCCTCAGGAGGGAAGTCTCTCTATTCACACGTCACTTCCTGCAACAGGAGATGGGTCAGCTCCTGTGATGGCCGTCGTGCGGCTCCTGGCTGAAATAAGGACCAGGTGAGCGCCACCCCCAAGCCCCCTCCCATGCCCCCGAGGTGGAACCTGACAGAGGCAGGAGTTCCCGGGCGGGAGGGTGGCCGCCACCCCAGACCGAGGGGTTCCCCAGCATTGCGCTCACGCAGAGCTGGGCAACAGAAACCCTGTTGGCCAGGGCGTGCCCCACAGCGTGCTGCCGCCCCTAGTCTCTGTGCTTGCCAACAAAGCGTGGTCGTTCGCCCAAGAAAAGCCACGAACCACGGAATGCAGCTGTTCCTTTGTTCACTGGGCCAGCGGGACTGCGCTCTCTCTCCGGCATTCCTCTGCCACGAAGCCTGGCTCCTTAGCAGGACCATGCAGATATGCCGGTTCATGGCTTTTCACGCTGATGATGGCAAACCCCAGGCATGCTCATAGAGGTTGACAGTGAAGAGAAAACCCCTCTTTCCGGCACCTGCAGTTGTCTGTTAACCATTCAGTAGCAGTCGCCAGTCTCTCGTGAGACCCTGGGGCTTTCCAGAAAGTTCCAATAAGGGTTGTGAATCAGGTGCAAGAGGACAACTTCCCCAACTTTTGGCGCCTCTTGCCGGTGGAGCCTGCTTTAGGCAAAGCGCTGGAGAGAAGCTGCTCGTTTCTCACCTGCCACCTCGGTCCCCGTCTTGTGGTGATGGCAGCCATCTGGTGCCTTTCCTGATTGCCCAGGCCACGTTCGCAGGCACTGGGTGGGTCGAGAGAAGGGATCCATAAAGCATCTCTGAGCCAGTCTAGCGCAGAAAAGGTAGAAGTCTTCGGGGGTTGAAGCTAGTAAATCTGGGAACAAAATGGGTTGAAATGGGGTTTGTTCTGCCTTGTCTGTCTGTCTGTCTCCACGTGACTTTTGGGGAGTGGGACACGGATGACTTTGAAACGTTGTCACTCTTTCCCCCTTAAGAGCATGTCTGGTCATGGCCCAGCTTCTAGAAGACAGCTTGTTTTGTGAAGAATTTATACAGCAGTGCCCGGCCGCGGTGGAGGTTCTTAACCTAGCAGCCCAGGAGTGCAGCGCTGGTGAGTACCTGTGGTTCTTTCTCCTCAGCACCAGACTGTGCCAAGTTTTGTCAGTATGCTAGCCATTAGACACCGCCCCGCCCAATGTCCTCATGGACATGCACCCGGAAACGCTGCGCACGCTGCAAATAGCACTTCTCAAAACTCACTTTCAGCTCAGACGTAGAGATGTGACCTAAAAACGCACAGTGTACACCAGCTATGAAATCCGTGCTTTTCAATTGAACTTGAGGACCAAACAATGTTCATTGATGGGCTTTGTCCCTCTGTTAAGACTCTTGATGAGCTGTTCTTAGCGATGCCATACGCATTAGCACCCATCCTCGGGGTTCTGTGGGAGCGTGTGCGTGAGTGTGAGTGTGAGTGTGAGTGTGTGCGTGTGTGTGTGGAACACTTCAACCAAAGACAGAATTGGAAAGACTAGGCTAGTGAGCACCCCTGCACACACGCACCGTACACACCCTTGTCTCCACCATCCAGTTTTAAAAAAGAACAACTTGGCTCACTCCTGGTGGCGGATGAGGGTTTGAACTGTTGAATGCAGAGTTGCTGGCCTGAAATGTAACTCATATCCCCCCCCCCCCCACCGTTTCAGAGTAAAAACTTAAATTTAAAAAAAAAACACCAAAAAGAACTCATAGCCAATCCTGTTTCACCTATGCTGCAACCCGGTGGATTCTATTTAGGCAAATCCTAGATATTATTTTATCAATACATTTTTTTTAGTATATATCTTTAAAAAGTAAAAACTCTTAAAAAGGCCGTAACACCTTTCTCACATCTAAAAATTAATAATTCTGTGAATGGTATTAAAATTCAAGTAAGTTCAGAAGAGCCAAAATACAAACTTAAGTCTATTCCACCTGAATTCAGAGACTCTCTCAGGAATTGAGCTGAAGCATTGGCCACAAGTGGCCAAAGGACCAAACTTGTTGTAGGGTGAGCGCAAAAGGTCGTTAATAATCAGGAAAGAAAGAAAAGATCAAAATGGATCTCAGAAGAGCCTCTGAAACTTGCTCTAGGGCATAGGTGCCCAAGATTATTTGACTTACCATTTCAGAAAAGCGAAACAATAAAATACATATCTGTACTTACGTGTATATATGCATATAAAATGTAAAAAACATTATGTATATATACATTAGATATGCATACACACACACATACTCAGTGCCTCCTTCTGCCAGCTAAACCTTCTGTAGTATAGCCCATAATCCAGGATAAAATAGAGGTTTTTGCTTTTGCAGCCAACCTGGATCGTTGTAGAAATCCCCCACCCCCACCCCCACCCAGGGGGCAGTGTCACCCATTTGGGGAAACACTTCTCAAGAACACGAGAAAAGCTAAGATGAAGAAGTGATGAAGTAAAAGAGCCGAACAGGAGATCCCCAAGGACAGCTGGAGAAAATGCAGTCTTAGAAGGAAACGTGAGGAGACCTGAGTGAGAAAACACAAGGGCAGACATGCTCGGCATTTTCTCAAGCTGAAAGCTGAATAAAAAATTCAAGCCTCAACTGCAGTGTTGACGGCTTCCACGGGCAGAATACTGAACGATGCAGGAAGTAGTGAAAGAAGAATCTTCAAAAGGAATACGTGGAGTCACTACCAAAAAAAAAACAAAAAGGGAGATGATGTTCACCCATTTCCAGAGGTATATGAACAAGAACTGAAGGAAGTATTGAAGGGTCAAGTTCAAGCTGCAATGAAGGCCTGGGTGAGAAACAAAGTCTCCATGAATTGACAGAACAGCAGCTGACACGCGTCAATAAAGGATGCAAGGCTAGCGGTGTTTTCTAGTTGATGCAGATACTGGGAAGACAGCCACCAACTGGAAGAAACTCATATCGCGCCCCTTACACACAAAGGTGACTCCATAGAATATGGAAATTGTCAAACAGTGTCAGTAATATGTCCTATGTAAGTGAAATTTTGCTGAAGATAATTCAAAAATGGTTGTAGCAGTATATCCACATGGAACTACCAAAAATTCAAAGCAGGTTCAGAAGACATGAAACAAAGAGTATTGTTGATTATCAGATGGCTCTTGGCTAAAAGCAGGGAATACCAGGCAGATGTTTTCCTGTTTTACGGACTCCGTGGATGACCACAAACCACGAGAAAATGGCAGAGACTGGGGATTCCAGAACACGCTCTTGTGCGCGTGCAGAACCTGTACAGGAAAGGTACGTCTCAGAGTCGTGTCCTTTCACTGGGCTTATTCCGCTGTATGCAGAGCGCGTGACCGGAGAAGCCGGACCGTATGAAGGGGACTGTGGATCTGGATCAGAGGGAGGCTGGCCAACAGTCTGTAGCATACCGATGACACGACTTACAGCACTTGCAGCCTTCAGGCTGATTACACTTGGACCAAGAGGTCGTGCCATGTGAAACAGAAAGAATGGAAGTTGTCTTTAAGGTTTTCATTTTACCTCGATCAACAATGAACAGTCATGGAAACAGCAGTCAAGACATCCAGTTTCTTATTGCTTGGCCAAATATTCTGTAAAAGATCTCTTTAAAGTGTTAACAACAAAGATGTTACTTTGAAGGCCAAGGTGCCCCTGACCCGAGCCTGGGGTAATGTTTGGGTCCCCTCCTATGCATGCGAAAGCTGGACAGGGAACCACAAAGACCAAAGACTCGGTGACTGTGACTTCTGGTGTTGAAGATGAAATATTGACTATACGCTGGGCCTGTAAGTCTGCACCGGTCAGAGGCCAGTCAGGATGCTCGTTAGAAGCAAGGATGCTGAGCCTTAGTCCCACATGCTTTGGACAATGTTAGCGGGAGGGACCATCCCTGGGAAAAGACCTCATGCGTGGTAAAGTAGAGAGTCAGCAAGAGAGAGGGATCCTCAGGAAGATGGACTGGCACAGTGGCCGCAGCAATGGGCTCAGGCACACCAACTATGAGGCTGGTGCAGGACTGGGCAGACTTTCATTCTGTTGTGCCAAGAGTGCCCCGGTGAACCAGAGCCAACTTGAAGCCGCGCACATCAACACTATTAAGTACCTAGTCGGCGTTCAAATTCCTAACTTGCTTATAAATGTCACATTTGTCTTTACATCTGCTCGTGTGAACCAGGGTCCACATGAAGTCCATACGTCGTTACTTGTTTTGTCTCTCAGGCATCTTTTAAAATGTAGTTTCCACATCAGTCTCTCGTTTTCCCTTATGATTTATTTGTTGAAGGATTTTTTTTTTAGCCGATCGTATCCCCGTGGTGTCATTTGACATGTTCTTTTGTCCTCATATTTCCTGTAAATTGATAGTTTGCTGGGAGATTTTGAAGTCAAAATGTACTCTTTGTCCCCAAGGATATAATTGAACCCGACATGAAATTGTCCACAATTAGATTAGCAGCCCTCTATTAGTGACAGCATTTCCACAAAATATTACAAATGACTATCTTTAATTTCCGTATCAATTTTAGTTTTAACCTTTTATTATTATCTATTATACTTGTTATTTCTCATGCCATTTGCTCTTTTAGTTTCCTGTTTTACGGACTCCCTCACCTTTTCTCTATCCTTAAACAGTTTCATGATTTGTGTAGTGATTTTTGATGATTTACACTTATGTTTTCTATAGTTGTAGAGTTTAAGCTCTCTTACACTTACTTAGGTTTGGGGAGTTAATTTTTGCATATGGTACCAGACACTCCTCAGACAGCTTACACGTGACTAATTCTAGCCCCAGAATCCATCCCCTTTCTTCTCTGCTTGCTGACATCCTATCCTATCCTGTTCTGTCCTAGGATCTAAGTTAACACTGCCTCTATTAAGCTCTGCCAGATTGCTCTGTGTACCTGTGCTTGTGCCTTCTATCCTGGTATCACACAGTAGAGCCTTGCAGTGTGTGTGTGTGTGTGTGTGTGTGTGTGTGTGTGTGTGTGTGTGTGTGTGTGTGTGTGTGTGTGTGTTTTCTCCCTCCTATTGGAGCAGGAGATTTGACTCCTGATATTTTTTGTATTAGCTAACATTTAGTCTTGCTCATAAGACATGTTCAATAGGTTTTATTCGATTTAAAAAATCAGTTTAGATAATAAGAAAAAAAGCTTTTAATTATCGGATGATAGGGATAATAGCTGTCACTTACTAAGTGTAATTCACTAGCCCCACTCGTTCATTGCATCGTGGTTGTGAGGCACAGGTACTAGAGTGCCCCGTGGCAGCAGTCTCCAGGAGATAGCGCGGTCTCAGATCATGGGCTCTTTTCTAAAACTCAGACTAATCTCTCCAAGCGCACGTAACTGCGTTGACCGGGCAGTAGTTGTGTTCACGGACTCTGTGTGTACCCTGCCAGGAGAGCGCCTTGCGGTCGTGGAAGTGCAGTGTGAACGACTGAGGATGCTCTACCGGGACTGTGCTCGGCCCCCGCCCCCCCCACTGCAGGCCGACCGGAGACAGGTGAGCCCTCCCTCCGCCTCCAGCACGGGCCACACCTCCTGCTGCCGAGGCAGAGAGAGCCCCAGGCTCGTGCATTCCCGGTGGTAGCAGTGGAGTGAGGGTTTGCAGAGCCACTCAGTCTGTGACAGCCCCTTCTCTGGGCAGCAGAGGCACTGGCTGGCCCTTCCTGAGTTGGAGGATGCCAGCAGAGGGCAGAGCTCTCGATCAGGGGCCGTGGTGCAGCTGCTGTGCTCAGTGACGGGGAAGAAGAAGGCTTAGGGTTAGGGTCCCTTACATAACGGTAAGTGTATTTCGAGGGAAAATAAGAGGGAGTGATTAAAAAAAAACACACAAAAACAATGGTGAACTGTTGAAAAATTCGTGTATCCACAAATGTGTGTGGTGCCTTGTTCATCAGTAGAGGCAGGGACAGACACTGTGGTCTGGCCGTGAGCGGCCGCAGCAGCAGGGCATGCGGTTCTGATGCCTGCTGCAACACGTGCACGCCGAGCGTAAGGTCCTGTGTGAAAGCAGGTAGCCACACATGGCCGCATACTTACTGTGGTCCATTCAGAGAAGATATCCAGAAGATTCTAGAAGATTGCATTTACGGAAGAAGGGGTCCACCTGTAGGAACCAGCCGTGGATTCGTGGTGTCTAGGGGCCCAGGAGAGGGGGCAGTGAGGAGCGAGTGCTAATGAGGGTGGATTTCTTTCAAGGGCGATGAAAATGTCCTAAGATTCGGTGGTGGCGATGGGTGCACTTCTCTGACGATGCTAAAAGCCTCAAAGCTAACACGTCAGTGGGATTGTACACGTTTAAAGCATGTATTAGAAGCTGTAAATTATGTCTGGACAAAACTGTGTAGGAAAATTGGTACATTGGGTAACTGTGTTATTTGCTTTGCCATATTATTCTCACAATTTGTGGAATTGTTTCAAAATAAGTTAGAAACATATAAAATAAAAAAGCTGCCACCTGAATTTTTAAACACCCCATGTAGCAGATTCATGTGATATATTCCCTACAATTAATTTAAACAAAATTGGGTTTCTACTATCTCTGTTTGGTCCCCGCCCCCCTCCCTCGGAGTTGCTCTGGTGGCCGTCCTGGTTACACATTGGGCTGCTAACCTCACCCTCGGCAGTTTGAGCCCACTCCACGGGAGAAAGATGAGGCTGTCTACGCCCATGAAGAGTTACAGTCCCAGAAGCCCACGGGGCAGTTCGACCCTGTCCGTCCTGTAGGGTCGCTGTGAGTCGACGGCAGCGAGTTTGGTTTTAGTTCTGTTTTCTCGCTCAATCGTGCCCGTCTGCCCGTGCCTCCCCTGCCTCAGTCTGGCTTGTCCTGGGGGCCATTCGACTTGTCTCCGAGTCTCTGATGGCCATCCTTGGAACGAGCTCTTCACGGGCTTCTTTCAGTGACAGGGCTGAAGGGGGACACTGGCTTGGGGACATTCCCATGGGAATACCGTCCAATCCACCTGCGCTGTTCTCTTGTTTGGGAGGGGGAAGGATCCCTGTGTGCCGTGCTGTTGACTGACGGTTTTCCTCCCTGCCCCCCTGCAGCCCAGAGAGATCACATGGAGCCCCTCAAGAGTGTTCCCGCCCGTGCGCGCCTGCATGTTCTCCTCTCACCTCACGTCGGTCACCTTCCTGGCCGACCCCAGCGCTGGGGGAGGCTTGCCCCGGGGCACTTTTATCTATGCCACCTCACCTCTACCAGTTCAGGTGAGCCTCCCCCGCCCCCCAGCTCCCCCCAAGGGACACTGCCCTCTTGTCTCCGTCCTTGACATGTGAGCACAAAAACAAGGTCAAGGGCCCAGTCTGCACCCTCTAAGGGCCCGCCTGCTTATGGTGTTTCTGCAGGCCCCGTCTTTTTACTGGGAAATTGAGATCGTGTCCTACGGCGATACCGATGACGACACCGGCCCCATCGTCTCCTTTGGCTTTGCCACAGAAGCGGAGAAGCGAGATGGAGCGTGGACAAACCCAGTGGGCACGTGCCTTTTCCATAAGTAAGTGCATGGCGACTGGTGCTGGACCCCAAAGGCGGACATAAAGTCGATCGGGGTATTGGCAGTTCCCGAGGTGTATTCCAGGAAACAGTCGCTTCTCACAAAAGCATATAGTTGTTGAGGTGAAAACAGGGGTCTGCCCAGGCCACTCTGGAAGGATTCGATGTGGAAGCCCCACTAAGTGAATGGGGCTGTACCTCGCACTCACTGGCCCTTGGGCTTGAGGCTGAAACGCCCCAGTTTGAGAAGAGCAGATGAGTGCTAGCCCAAGGGTACAGGACCAACCGGCCGTCCTGGGGCGAGGGTCAGCTCTCTCCCTTGAGGGTGCTCATGCATGGGAGGCCAGGACTACGACACACTTACTGTTTTAAAGCCCTCCTTGCTTTGTTATGACGCGTGTTACTCTGGTCCGCATGGTTATGCCGTTATTAATGATATCACTGAAAAGCTCACCCTTATATATATAGAGAGAGAATAGGGGTCTGTCTTCAGACACTTCTGGGGAAACGGGCTATTTTGGAGATTCATAAATCACAAGCCAGACTGAAGACGCAAGCTGTCCTGAGAAGGACCTGCTTATTTTGCGCCTCCGATGTATGAGCCATCTGTGTTGGGAACGCGTACGCGATGCGCACACTCGTGGATGAGCTAACGCCACAGTAACAGGGTCTCTGCCCGGAATTGTAGAACCTCGCAGTTGGCAATACGAGAGCAGGTCAAGAAATGTCTCTCCTAGGGCCCCAGCTCGTGGGTTTATTCCAAACAAAACATGTCCGAACCTGTCTCTGTGATCATGGGCGGCTGAAGGCGAGTTCTCGAGTTCTCTTGGTCACCCTCGTTAGCGTGCCTCCAAAGGAGAGGGCCAGCGGCTTGGGGGGGGGTCTGGAGCCAGCTCATTTTAAGGCCGCAAGATCAGGTCCACCAGTGGTGGGGACTAGTTTTCTCAAAATACACAGGCTAATCATGGGCTGACTAGGAAGGACTGTTCAGAATTGGTGAGAAAAAGGCCAGGAAAGTTGCACCAAGGGGAAAAAACACTTGTTTTTCCATCATGACAATGTTCTCGCTCCTTCCGCAAGAGCAGCAAGGGCTACGCTGCCTACGAGACTCTTAGCGGGAAATCTTAGCCCGGCATGCTCCTTCCCACTTCTTTGGCTCCACACTCTCAAAGAGCACTCGAACGGAACAGGGTGTGAGTCCCTCACGGAGGCGCAAACGGTCACCTTGATGCCATGTCAGTCGCAGCAGCGGCATTCTCGGGGAAAGGCTGGCGATGGAAGCACTGTCTTCCGAGGTGTCCAGACCTCGGTGGGGCCTACACGGAGAAACCGTAGCTTCGCGTTTTGGTAATTTTGCTTTATCAAGGAATGCTCTCTTGACTTACTCGCGTGTGTGCGTGTCGAGGGACAGAGCCATTCTTCCTCTCCCCGCTGCCTGCTGCGCTCCCTCGGTCCTGACTGCCCTCTGTGTTTCCCCCAGCAATGGCCGGGCTGTGCACTACAACGGCTCCAGCCTGCTGCAGTGGAAGAGCGTGCGCCTCGACGTGACTCTCTGCCCTGGTGAGTGCCGCTGCGGGGCGCTTTGTGCGCCTCCCGCGAGGTTCGTTTCCCAGGTTTGGCGCGCGGTAGGTGGGACGGGCCACGGGCAGTTTGTCTTTTAGTTGACACTGCAGCCCTTCCTGAAAGAGCCCCCTCTTGGATGCGGTGGTGGCGATGGGTGCACTTCTCTGACGATGCTAAAAGCCTCAAAGCTAACACGTCAGTGGGATTGTACACGTTTAAAGCATGTATTAGAAG